GACTCCAACTCAAAAAAAAAAAAAAAAAGAATAAAATGTCATTCCAGCCCGTGTTTTATATAGTCACTAAATTTTGTTTATTTATTAATTTAATTTAATTTTTTTTGCATTGGAGTCTTACACTGTCACCCAGGCTGGAGTGCAGGGGCATGCTCACGGCCACTGCAGCCTCGACCTGCTGGGCTCAGGTGATACTCTTGTCTCAGCCTTCCAAGTAGCTGGAACTGCAAATGTGCGCTACCACACCCAGCCAGTTTGTTTATTTATTTATTTTAGAGACATGGTCTTGCTAAGTTGCCCAGACTTGTCTCAAACCCCTGGACTCAAGCAATCCTCTTGCCTCCGCCTCCCAAAGTACTGGGATTATAGGTGTGAGCCACTGCACCCGGCTCACTAAAATTTATTTTGATACTTGACGAGAAATGCCAGATAACTGGTACATCCTCAAAGTGATAGAGCTTTGTTTTCTCCCATTTACAGTTTTAAAAAATTAAGTGGTGCTCACATGTGGTTTGACTTAGTAGCTCCGACGCCTGGTGACGGAGACGCCATGATGGTGTCCCTGCCCCCCACCTCCGGCCCTGCTGCAGACCCTGGGAAGTGTTGCCGTGGGTCCTTCCTGGATGTTCCTTGTCCAGAGTCTTAGCTTGTTTTAGCGTTTCTTGAGTTGCGACTTCCCCTCCTGTCGTGCACATGACAAAAGACGAGAGGTGGTTAAGATTGGGGTCACGTGTTGCTGGATGACAGACCACGCTCACCCAGGTTTTCTGATTTCTAGTGTACAAGGATGATGTTTTCAGTCCTCGGTCAGGTACTTAAGTAGAAATTCCAAGACACTCGGCTTGCAGATTTCTTTCTTTTTTTAAACTTTTAATTTTAAAGATGTGGGGTATAATTCAGGGTCAGGTATATAAATGTTCATTATGCCGGGACCCTTGTTGATGAGGTATGTCCTCCCCCAGCCACGGTAGTTTCTCACTGTGGGTTGCAGATTTCTTAAAACCTAGTTCCTTGATAAGAATTTCATCAAGACACTTATGTCCAAAGTGAAGGTGTTTTTATTGTGGAAAATTGTCTCCGTCGTAGGGCCATATGCCAACCATCGAGCTCTTGAAAAAGTATCACCTCATGCAGTTTGCGGAAGTCACCAGAGCCGTAAGGTAGGGTGGCGTGTCTTCTGATAGAAGCCACACGCTGCTGTGTGAGAGACCTCTGTTGGCGCCCCCCCCTGCAATGCCGCGCGTGACGCGTCTCCTCACCCACAGCGAGGGCAACCTGCTGCTGCTCAACGAGGCGCTGGCCAAGCACGAGACCTTCTTCATCCGCTGCGGGATCTTCCTCATCCTGGAAAAGCTGAAGATCATCACCTACCGGAACCTCTTCAAGAAAGTGTGAGTGTGGGGCCGCACATGGAGCTCCTGGGGCCGCACATGGAGCTCCTGGTGGGCCTGGGCTGGTCGGAGGGGGAGGACTGACCGCCGCGGTCTGAGGGTGGAGCCACGTGGGCGTCCGTCATTTTCCTTTAGCTGCGTGAGGTGAAATGAAACACTGCAACCCCTGCTGCCAGGGGGCCTGGCCTAGAGACAGGTGAGGGACAGGCCTCACCTTCCGTGGGGCAGACGCCTGGGGCCCATCAGCACGGGGACATGCCACCCCCGCTTTGCTCAGCCCATGAAACCTCTCACGGGAGGCCAGCTACCGCTGTCAGCGATCCTTTTCCCACCTGTCATGCTGGAAGGGGGCTCTCCTCCCTCAGTCAAACTTCTGACCGAGGCACGCTTGGCAGCATCTGTGCTTGGCATCTCAAAACCAGCAAGGGCCCTTTTCATTGAGTCCATAAGACTCTCTCCATTGCCAAGTGCCTCCTGATTTTGGATGTTAAAATGGGAAAAAATATGCATCGTAGGTTAATGACAGACTCGGTCAGCATGAAAACATTGTACGAGGGGCAGTTTCAGTTGACATCAAGTTCTGTCGGAGAGCTCTTCCTTGGAGAGTGTGCTTCAGCGTGTCCCCGCTAGGGGGCGCCTCTCTCGTGTCTCGAGCAGGGGCTGATTGCAGGTGTTCTCCCGCGGCCGCCGTCTTGCCCTTCTGGGTCCTGGAGGCGCGCACCTGTGGCAGCTCCGGTGGCCCTCTCCTTTCCTCGCCAGGTATTTGCTTCTCAAAACGCACCAGTTGTCTTTGGATGCCTTTCTGGTGGCCCTGAAGTTCATGCAGGTGGAGGACGTGGACACCGACGAGGTCCAGTGCATTCTGGCCAACCTGATATACATGGTACGTGCATCTTGTTCTGACGCAAGCGGCCACTCGCAGCGGAGTCCGGCTGGAACCCGAAGCTTTATGTGAGCGTGTTGGGGTTGCCAAGAGGCCTTCGCTTCTGGGATGGCGTTTTTGCTGGAATGGATGCTATGCCAGGAGACACCTTTCAAGCGGCCTGTGGCCGAGGGATGGATGTGATGCATGTCTGGATGCTCCCTGCCAGAGGGACATCGGCCCTCGGTGGTCCCCTCGATGGAGGCCAGAACCCGCAGATGCTCAGACCACTGACACACGCCACGCGGGGTTTGCGTCGACCCTCTGCATCTGCTCCCGTGCACTCTAAATCCTCTCTGGGCTACTTCTTGAGTGCTTAGCTTAGTACCACGGACACACTATGCACATGTTTGTTAAACTGTGGCGTTTGGGGGATCACGACAGGCCTGTTCACATGGGTAGGCACAGTCCCTCTTTCCAGGCATTTCCGATCCGTGGTTGGTCGAATCTGCTGGTGTGAAACCCGCGGATACAGAGGGCCAGCTGGCTTGCTTTGGTTTGCTGTACTCCCGTGGATTGAACTCCCCCTATAATCGGGAAGGGCGTTTATGCCCAGGGTCAGTTGCGTCACCTAGAGTCTTTGGTGTGACTCGGATTCAGAAACATGACTGGCTCCCTTTCTCGCCCCCAGGGTCACATCAAAGGCTACATATCGCATCAGCACCAGAAGCTGGTTGTCAGCAAGCAGAACCCGTTTCCCCCGCTGTCCACGGTGTGCTGAGTGTGCAAGGGAGCCCTGAGGACGGCAGAGCACTCCTCCTTGGACTGCAGTGGCGCCCGCGAGGCGAGGCCTGTGTCACGGCCTGACTCTTGGGCTGGAACTCTTTGGCCTCCTCCCAAGGACCCTGAGACCGAGTTTTCCAGCACACGCAAGTGAGCTCTGTCATCTTTGTAACTGACAGCAGCTCAGAGAACACAGAACTGGTGGCTCTGAGTTCTAGGAAGCTTCTCTGAAGGACTCTGAAGATGCTTTGCCACACGCTGTCCCCAAAGGCATTTTATAACTTTTGTAGCTCTTTGTATAAAAGGCATTTCCATTGTGAACAAGTGGCATGTTCTTCCTTATATCTTCCTAATCCATCTATTTTTATATATTAAATATGAACATTTGCTATCATAAAAATGCTGGTTAATTTAAGGCCCCCCTTTTTTTGAGTTGGAGTCTTACTTTGTCACCCAGGCTGGAGGGCACTGGCATGCCCCCTGGCCCCCGGAAGCCTCAACCCACTGGGCTCAGGCAATCCTTCCGCCTCAGCCTTGCAAGTAGCTGGAACTGCAGGCATGCATCACCATGCCTGGCTAAGTTTTGATTTATCGTAGAGATGAGGTCTCACCAAGTTGCCCAGGCTGGTCTCAAACCCACAGGCTCAGGCAGTCCTCTCACCTCAGCCTCCCAAAGTGCTGGAATTATAGGCACGAGCCACCACGCCCAGCCTAAGGCCTCTTTTTGGAGGCAGAATTTAATTTGATGCCGGTGTTCCAGCTTTCTCAGCCACCTGTGCAGACGCTCCTCAACTTCCCATGGGGCCACAACCCTGCGGGCACTTCCCACGCTGACACTGTCATGAGGCGAGATGCGCTTGGCACGCCTGCCTGCACGACTGAGCCCCGGCTGCCCTCCTCAGGCTCAGATCACTCACCAAGCCTGCAGGTGGGCAGGGTCACCCAGCAGAATGAAGGCTGGAGGCCTCATGGGAGGGCCTGACTCGCAGTGCGGTGTCTGCTGACTCGAGTCACTCTGTGCCCTGGTAACGTCATGCAGTGTTGGGTCGGTCTGCTGGGGCTGCTGTAACAGAGATCCCAAGCGGGGTGGTGTAAAATGCAGACGTGTTTCCTCGCAGGTCCAGGGGCTGGAGAGCTGAGCACGACCAGCCTGCTGGCACGGCCGGTTATAAGAAGGACGCTCCTGAATCTCCGACGGCTGGCCTGCGTGCCTCGGAGACACGCACCCTGCCTCTTCTGTGAGGTCACAGTTCACCCTCATGCCCGAGAGAGTGAGAACTCCCTTACCCCATGGGGCCGCGGTGCGAGGCTTGGGCTCCTCTGGCCTGGGACAGCTGCCCCAGGCCTGGCACGGTGCTGTCTCGTCCACATGCTCCAAGCCACCATGCCCAGGGTTGAGGGGAAGTTGCTCCCCGTGGTGCTGTTGGGTGCTCTCTTGGGGCTGGGCTGTCCCTTGGAGGTGGCTCGTGCCCATGTGTGGGCACTGGGCTCCCACCAGGACTCCATGGGCTGTGGTGGCCGCTCAGTTCCTGTCACACACAAGGAGCTGGTTTCTAGGAGCACGTGTCCCAGCGCGGCTGGGAAGGCTTGGTCCCTCGTATGACCCAGTCTCCTCACTCACGTCCATGTAGGATACCTCCGCTCACGAGGGCTGAATGCGGGAAGGGAGGTGGGCCTGTGGATTTCATACCAGGGCTTTTGGCCTAGGGAGCTGCCCTTCACCGGCAGCAAGGCCCACTGCGCCTCTGTGCCCACGACAGGTAAGCACGTCCCCTGGGCGGGCACACAGCAACCTCCCACGGGGCCTTTGGGTGCCACATCTGTTTCCTCACTAGGGTGGTGTCCGTGGGCCTGTTCCCTTACAGTGTGTGCATGGAAAGCTGGTCCTCCCCACTGCTCTGTGTGCACCATCAACTTCCCTCCACGCCTGCTTAAGATGACTTTCACGGCGATTTGAATCTTGGAGCTTCCACCGGCACACCTGAATTTCATTCTTCTGGCTCCAGTAGGGAAAGTGGAGGTGTGCCACCATTTTCGGTGACTTAGCAGTGAGCAGTGAGTAGAGTCAGGACTGGTCACTCAGGGCAACGCATGGCTCCCTTGGCCCTTATGCTCACCTCTGGGCACTCAGGCCTCATTCAAGTCCACGGGCGCACGCAGAGGTGTGCGTTGAAGTGTTTGGTACGACGGGACAACATTTGCCCAAGTGTCACTGGCTTGGCTGTCTTCACACGTCCTCCTGGCCGAGTTCCCCTTCCTCGAGTTGCCTTGCTCTGACCAGATGGCTTATGCCAAGTGGTTTCCAGTCATCCATTTGATGCCAGCTAGTCGTGGTTCCAGTCATCCATTTGATGCCAGCTAGTCGTGTCAGCTTCCCCAGGTCCCTGCATCTTTGCTGACCGTTTAGGTTCAGGCCCCTCTGGCTGCGCTTGTTGATCGATTTCACCGTTCCCCAGCGGGTCCCTCACATGCTCCCCCTCTGCCTGGGCTGCGTTGGAAATGATTCTAGCAAACCAAAGCTGCCATTCAAATGCTGTCAGCAAAACTGCAGACATTCCTGCGGCAGCATCCACCTAAAGCCTGTCGTGCTCCCTTGCTGGTTTTCAGATCTTCGGTGGGTCTTTAGGGCGGCAGCCTCATTACCTTACGAAAGTGATACAACTAGATGTCACCAAGACTTTAAAATTCGCCCTGGCCATGTCACTGCCCTCCCTGTTAACTTGTCTTAAATTAGGATATTAATTTTTGCCAGGGTCCTTACAGAGAACCGGCCAATTCATCAGCAGGTTGGAAAAAAAAAAAGTTAAAATTCTGGGGTTAAAGAATAAGTGAAAGACTTGCTGGAGAATAAAAAGGCTTAAAAGTCTGAGTTACAGCTGGCTGCAGCGACTCACACCTGTCATCCCAGCACTTTGGGAGGCTGAGCGGGAGGACCTCTTGGGTCCAGGAGTTTGAGATCAGCCAGGGCAACATATGAGACCTTGTCTCTACCAAAAAAAAAGCTAACCAGGCGTGGTGGCGCATACCTGTAGTCCGGCACCTGGGAGGCTGAGGGGGAGACCCCTCACACTCTGCGTCCTCAGCCCCCTGCTTCCTGACTTAACGCCTCTGCGATGTCACCCCTCCTCTGGCTTCTTCCACACTGAGCAGCCGCCCCGCTCACACCTGCGATCGCTGAATCAGAGCAGGTCACCCCAGCGCCGCCTCGAAGCTTCTGCAGCCAGCCGTGCCCGTGTGCACAGACAGGTGTTGCCAGACAAGGCACCGGACGTGGAAGAGGAGACAGCTTAGGACATCGGGCAGCCTCACGACTGGCAGAGCATTTTATTGTGTAATGTGCCATTTTTCTCTGAGGTCTCTGTTTCGACAAAGTTCTGGCTCAGGAACTATCGCAGCCCTCAGTAACACCTAGTGAGCGGGAACTGGCGTTCTGGGGTGGCCGGTTGCTCTGTGCCATGACAGCTTTAACTATCTGACGTTCTGACACCCCCACGGTGGCCATGGAGGCCTGGAATCCCACCGGGGTCCGGTCCCCTCCGGCTGGCTGGGCTCCGGCTACTTCAGGACCCGCCTAAGCCACAGGGAGTACCTCGAGAGCTTGGTGACAAGGAACGTGGCAGTCCTGCCTCCTGCCGGCTGCGAGCCCACAACCCCCGTGAGGAACCAGGTGCCCCCGTGCTGCCTGGTCACCACGCTGCCCTCTGCCCAGTGCCCGGCTGCCATGGCCCCCCTCTCACAGGACATCCTAGTGGTGACGGTCATGTTGAGGACCTGTCCACACTCCGCGCCGTCCACGTGTGTGACAGGCAGTGTGGCCAGAGAGGTGCCCAGGCGGGCGCCGCCTGTGACCCAGCCGCTGAGGAGGCCGCCTGTTCGCGGGACGAGCACGTGTTCAGCGAAGTCCGTCTCGGGGGTGCACACAGGGGCCCCTGCACCCGGGCAGGGGACGGGCCCCGCCAGCTCCAGCAGTGCCACGTCGTTGTCCCCTGTCTCTTGGTCATACCACAGGTGCACGTGCACGCGCTTGACGCCGATGGCCCGTGGGTCCTCACTGGTTCTGTTAAAACCTGAAACCATGGACAGTCAGTCACCAGCTCTTTAAAATCTAGCCAAGCAGAGACGGACTTCCGAGTCACGGGGCGAGGCGGAGGCCGGCCCCACAGCACATGCTGGGCTCCTCGCCCCACCGTCACCCCGCGCCCATCTGCGGGCTGGAAGGCCAGTCACAGGACGCGCCATCAGCTCACAGCCACGGCCTGCCTCGCACAGTCCCCTAAGACAGTCGAAGCTGGTTCTCTTGCTGGGAACTCAGCGGGGCTGGGGATGCTGGGAAAGCAGGACCCCCCCAGGCCCGTCGGAGGCGGGGGCGGCCGTGGCCCAGCGTTGACCAGCGTCGGGCCGTTTGTCGGTTAGGGATGGAGGGCGAGTGTGTGTGTGTGTCAAGGCCCTTCGGATCCTCCTGGTGGGACGGAAACCCCCGCCTCATCTGTACACATGGAGAAATGGGCACGGGGACGTCGGGTGAGGAGGCTGCCGTCACAGCCACAGCCCGGCGTGGCGGGGCTTGAGCCCATCTCTGGTGCCATGACGGCTTATTTCGGGTCAGTGAAGCCACGCCTTCCCAGGCTGCAACCTCCTCCTTTGCCGAGAGTGGTGCGCACTCGTCTGTGCTGCGCCCAGACCCCGGCTAGCAGCTGACATGTGTGCTCCGATCCTATGAGCATCTCAGCCTTAGAGCTAGGCTCAGTTCTATGTTGCCTTAGAAATAAAAATCCCAGTTTCAAAGTTTTCATTTCATTCCCACATAGATTAGTTACATTTCCTCTGTGCTCTTTAAAAAATTCATGATAGCATACTTACTTGTTTTCACTCTAATATTGCGGTGTAATAGTGAACATCTGGCCGTTGTCAGCACAAAATTTTCCTGTATTATGACCCCGCCACAGAAGTCTTCTCCTTCGGAATTTGTCAGTTTCACCTTTCAAAACCAGAACAGACAATAAATGGCTGGTGGCAATTTGCAGGACCAGGAGGCCAGAGAGTCTGGTGGTCAGGGACACGGGCGCCAGCGCTGGGACCCTCGCCACCACTCCGGTGGCCGCAAGACCTTGAGCAGAACATAGGTAGTCGGAGCTTCTGTTTGCTCAGGTGTAAAGCGAGGCTGAGCCCCTTTCAGCCAAGGCGAGGTAGCGAGTGGTCCGATTTACCCTTCCACTGGCAACAACAAGAAGATAGACAGGTTATGAACAGATGTTTTCAGAGCGTGTAACACCAAGTTTCCACGGGCAGGACGGAAGCCTTGGGGAGCCCTGCAGACTCCCTGAGTGGAAGAGAGTCCTGGGGGCCTAGGGAGGCCACAGTGGCCAGAGTTGGTGGAACAGAGTCCTGGAGCGGGGAGGCCTTGGGGGAGGGCACTGGAGAGCCGCGGTTTCCAGCAGAGCAGCGATGACACATGCACGCCACGTCTGGGGAAGGAGCCACCCAGCCGGGCCAGAGGAGCCGCGCTGGGCATGTGCCTGGCTGGGGACGGCGCCTGTTCCTGCCGCTGACTTAAAAAATCGAATGGGGCACTGGGAGGGGCGGGCCGAGAGGGCCTGGCTTCGGGCAGGGAATAGCCTCGCTCCACCGAGCACCGTTTTGGTTCTGCCGAGCAACCACCAAGGCCGTAGGCCAGAGGACCACACCATCTCCAGGGGCCTCAACTGTGTCCCAGAGCAACACGCAGACACGTGTATGGAGCACAGACTGCCTGGCACCTGATTATCGAGATAGAGTCCTCACGCCTGGCTGTCCGCCAGAGATCACCAGACACACGAGGAACAGGAGGGAAGAAAAACCCACGACACGGACTCAGGACGGACGTCATGTCAGCAGACAAGGAATAAAACAGCGATTATAACTAGATTCCAAATATTCAGAAAGTTAAATACAGACAAGACTTTTTTTAAAGACCCAAATTAAACTTTTGGATGCCAATTACAATGAGTGAGGTTGAAAATTCACTGGAAAGCATTGGTGGTAGATTAGAGGCACTGCAAAAGAAAAGAAAAGATGCCACCAATGCCACTCTCTACTTTTATTAGAGATCTTGAAGGCACAGCAACAGAAAATAACCAAATTAAAACACAGAGAAGGGAGATTTTTTAAAAAAGTGAACAGATCACTTCTGAACTGTGGAATTTCAAACAGCCTCAGGTACATTAATTGCAGTCCCCAAAGGAGAGGAGAGAAAAAAGAATGTGAAGAAATAATGGCCAGAATTTCTCCCAGTGTGATGGAAAAACTTTAAACCCACAGATTCAGGAATCTCAGCAAGCCTGAGGCATCAGAGACATGAGGGAAACAACAGCAAGAGGCAGTGACCTTCAGCTCCCCAAAGCCAGCAATAAAGGGAAAGTCTCAGGGAAGGCGGACGTGTGTGGAGCAACACGCAGGGCGACAGGGCCCGCGTGTGGAACAAGGGGGCCGGAGGCTGTGGTTCATGGCCGTGTGCTGAGAGGCGAGGCCGCCAGCCTGGGTCTGTACCCAGATAAAGCATCTTTCAGCGCTGCTCCAGGTGGACAGGCACCAAGGACTTCTTCCCAGAACCTCAGCACAGGCGACAGAGAAGGAACATGGCGGAAGGCGATGGCCCCAGCGGGGCCTGGGTCCCACAGCAGAGCGAGGGCTAAGGAGGGAGCCGCCCCCGTTCAGCGGATTGCTGTGTCCAGGATCCGGGTGACTCTTTTTCTAAGATATCGTTTAAGCAAAAATAATAAAAGTAGAGAGTGGCATTGGTGGCATCTACGGAAGGAACACATGACGAAAGCAGCATGAGGTTGGGAGGGCTGCGGGCGTGGTGGCTATAGCAGCGTGGGCAGCCTCATAGCGGCGAGCTTGGCCGGAGGGAGCCAACGTGCCAGCCGACGATGCATCCACGCTGGGAAGCAGCCACCCAGCAGGGCCAAAGGCCAGAGGCCATAATCCCACGGAGGAGACAAGGTGGAGTCATGGCACACTCAATCCGCAGAAGACCGAAAGAGGGAGAAAGAAAAGATGAGAAAAATGGAAAATGGCGAAGGGGTGGATTAACCTCACTGTAGCAACAGGCGCAAGCACTTGCAGAGCGGTCTGAGTGCCCCAGTTAAGAGGCAGGGGTTTGTCAGATTGGCTAAAAATGCAAGCCAGTTTCATTCTGCCTATAGAACTGCACCTTGGTCAGACGCCAAGGCTCAGCCTGTCATCCCAGCACGTTGGGAGGCCGAGGCGAGAGGATGGCCTGAGCCCGGGGGTTCGAGACCAGCCTGGGCAACTTGGCAAGACCTCGTCTCTCCAATAAATTTTAAAAAAGGCAGGACTCGGGGACTTAGCCGATCATCCCAGCACTTTGGGAGGCCGAGGTGAGAGGATTGCCTGAGCCTGGGGTTCAAGACCAGCCTGGGCAACTTGGTGAGACCTCGTCTCTACAATACATCACAAAATAATCCAGGCATGGTAGCACGCACCTGTAGTTCCGCTATTTGGAAGGCTGAGGCGGAAGGATCGCCTGAGTCCGGCTGCAGTGGCCGTGAGCAGCGTGCCACTGTACTCCAGCCTGGGCAACAGAGTGAGACTCCAATTCAAAAAAAGGAACATGCGCCTTAAATATAAAAACGCAGACAGGTTAAAGGTAGAAGATTAGAAAAAGATAAGCCCTGTGTCTACAGCAAGGCAGAAGAGGGAGATTTCAGAGCAAAACTATCACCAGGGACAGAAAGTGGAGAAGTGAGAGGTGTCTGGAGGATTGAATGAGGCCGCGTGTAAGGGACCGGCTCTGGACATAATTGTTAGAATTCTCAGAGGCCAGTAAAGCAGAAGACGCTGAGCAGAGTATAAAAGTTTCTGAAACTCCCTGTAGCCAATATCTGGGCCTCCTGTGTGTGGCCGCTCGCGATTGCCCCTTAGGAGCAGCTGCTGTGAGTCAAGAGCCGGACCCTCGCTTCTCACTGTGGCTGGGGGGGGGCTCAGGCCGAGTCTGGGAAATCGGCATTTGCGCCACCGTTCCGTTAGACGTGTGGTCAAATGCATTGGCGCCTGCAGGGTGGTTTTTTACCTTATAGTGTAAGAAGCAAGTTCTAAAGATAATTTTCAACTCTTGCGTTTTGCTTGGTCCCTTAGCTACTCTCTTTTTTGAAGTTTGTTTTTGGAAAATTTTGTAAGTTAATTCAGTTAAATCAGCCAGCACTTTGGGAGGCCAAGGCAGGAGGCTTCCTTGAGGTCAAGGGTTTAAGACTAACCTGAAACATAGAGAGACCCTGTCGCAGTGACATGTTTTAAAAACTGTAATTACATGCATTCAGAGCAATTTGTAGTGCAGTATTGGGAATCTAACTGTGTTCAGCTTGCTGGCCTCGATGACCTGTGTCTCCACGCATGCCTGACTGGTGCTCAGAGCATGCTTGCCGGGCCACGGCTCTGTGCCTCACCCATGCTGGTCACCCTGCGGACGGAGCGGCCGCGTCTTCCTGTGGGTGACGACTGAGCCAGATCGTTTACCCTCTGTGGGGGCCCCCCGCACCCCGGCCACCCAGCACCGGCCCTCCGTGCCCTCACAGGCTCATGCCGGGAGGAATAGTCCTGCAGCCCCAGAGAGGAGAGGACGTGGGAGAGGAAGCAAAATCTGCAAGTGGCAGCCGGCGTGCCACCTCTGCCTGACCTTCTCACCTCCCTGCAGCCCAGCCTCCCTGCCCTGTGGTCTGCCCGTCTCCCTCCTGGGCCGTGGCAGGTCACCAGGCACCACCCTGTCCTCCCCATCCTCCACCATGGACTGTGCCGGGCGGAGCCGTCCTGCGAGAATGGGGGAAGCCAAGCCTCTCACACCAGGAACCTCAGGGCGTGTCCCCCAGGTGGCCACCAGGGAGAGCGGCCACGGACTTCAGTGGCTTAGCATGGAGGCGAGAGGGAAGGAGCCCAGTAAGTAGTCTGCATTACACGCAGAAGTGATCATGGAATGAGCTCCACTGTGAGAGCGTTCGTGAGCCCGACTTGTTCCAAGTCCAGCAAAGTCAGCCCAGGGCCCGGCGAGCTCAATCGGCTCTGCAGTTCTGTGTGTCCTTAACAGGTGATGCCAATACCCGGTGGAGAGAAAGCATACGTGAAGATGCAGCTGGACATCCTCAAAGTGTGACTTGAAGGCTCATATGTAGGGGCCCTACTGTATTTAAATATATTAGGTTGGCCGGGCTCAGTGGCTTAGCCTGTCATCCCAGCACTTTGGGAGGTCTGAGTCGCGGGTTCTAGACCAGCCCAGGCAACTTGGTGAGACCTCATCTCTACAATAAATCAAAAAAAATTAGCCGGGCATGGTAGCGTGGGCCTGCAGCTCCGGCTACTTGGAAGGCTGAGGTGGAAGGATTGCCGGAGCCCAATAGGTCGACGCTGGGGTGGCCATGAGCATGCCACTGCACTCTAGCCTGGGCAATGGAGTGAGAATCCAACTCAAAAAATAAATAAATAGAACATAAAAATTTCGCCGGGTGTGGTAGCATGCGCCTGGAGTTTCAGCTGTTTGGAAGGCGGAGGCAGAAAGATCGCCGGGGCCCAGCAGGTCGAGGCTGCAGTGGCCATGAGCATGCCGCTGCACTCCAGCCCGGGTGACGGGGTGAGACTCCAACTCAAAAAAATATGTATGTGTTGGGTTCACTATAGCATCAAGGTCAGTTTCGCTTACTTTTACCTAAATGCCCTCACTGCTGCCTGGTTTGAAGTGTCACGTGGCTGGCATCTCATTCCTGTCAGACAAGGCTGCTTTAGGGATCTACCCGGGCAGGTGCCACTCACGCAGCTCCCTGAGCCCACGGGGAAAGCCAGTTACCTGCCATGGGAGCTCAGGTGGGCTCTGCTCACTCCTCCCCGGGGCGGGGGCGCGCTGGACAGGCAGGACCCCACAGGCGCACGGGTCTGCATTGCACAACGCAAGAAGAGACCGTCGCGGGGTCAGGTTCTCACGCCAGCTGAACACAGTTGGATTCCCACCACCGCACGACAAACTGCTCTGAAAGTCATGTAACTACAGGTTTTAAAATATGGACTCCCCACAGCTCCTGGGCTCAAGGCTCGCGCTCTCAGGGTGGTGGGCAGGCCGGGTGCCTCGTGGTGCTTTCTGGCGCTGCCACTGCCCCGGGGGAGGCCGGGACCGGGGAGAGTCACGGTGGCCCTCGCGTGCTCATCCCGAACCTTCCTGGGTGACTTGGAGGGAGGGGGGAGGGGGGACAGGGCAGGAGCGAGGCCCACGGGCGCTCACCGTGGGGGACGCAGCCTCGACGGTCCTTGTCCAGCCGGTGGCCCTGTGCACAGCTGCACGTGTATGACTCCTGTCCCGGGAGGCAGAAGTGTTGGCACCCGTCCGTCCGCTCTGGGTGACATTCATTCTTAGCTGGAAAGGAGAAAAGGAAAGCCCCGAAATGCCGGCGTGGATCGTCACGCCACCCTCCTCAACGGGCTCTGGCTCTCCGATCCTGGGTGCGAGCCCTTCCACGCTCCACGTGCTAGGACATGCGTGAAGGCAAGGTCTGTGAGTGGCGACACCGCCACTTGTGCCCAGGACATGTTTCCACCTGGCTGCTCCAAGCGCATCCTCTCTCTCTGGCTCTCTCTCTGGCCTCCCCCGGCAGGGGCTGCGCCCTCGAACTGCTTCTTGGGGGAGTGTGGGAAAGGGTGGTCAGTGTGGCTGGGGAGGCTTTCCACGGAAAGGCAGAAGATTTGGAAGGGGACGTGGGGGCCGGCCAGAGCCCCCCTTTGCGTGTTCAGTCTGGGGCGGCCCCTGGGCCGTCACTGAGGCGGATGGAGCGGAAATCTGGACTTCGGAGGAGAGGCCTGGGCCACAGGGATGCTGTCCCCAGAAAGATGGACTCCGTGCTGCTGCCCAGAGGCTTCGAGGGGTCAAGGGCACCAGCCTCGGCGGCTGCCGGCAAATAACAGGAACCAGGACACTTCACCAGCGTTGAGGGAGGCCTGTCTCCATGCTCAGCATTGCGTCTGTGTGTCTCCCACTGGGCACCCGGCCCTGAAGGCGCCCGAGTGTGCCCAGCTTGAGAGCAGAGGGTGAACGGCTGAGGCGGGGGCGGGTGGGGAGGGGAAGGGGTCCCCAAGGGGCCGTGGAAAAGACAGGGTGACAGGGGCGGGAGGGCCGTTCATAGGGCAGCACGCTCGGGCGTCACTTCTGGAGGAGGGGCGAGCCCCAAGGGGTCTTCACGCGCATGCCCAGGCGGGCCCCGCCTGGGGGAGCCTGAGCAGGTGGGCAGGCCCGGCCTGGGCCCGGGGGATGGGGTGGGGCAGGGCAGGGCTCACCCAGGGCACAAGTCCTGCCCTCGTAGCCGGGGCTGCAGGTGCAGGTGAAGCCGCGGATGTGGTCCTGGCACGACCCGTTGTGGAGGCAGGGCTGGGACACGCACGGGGAGCCGCCTGCCAGGGGACGGGCCGGTGACGGGGACGCCCCTGCCACGCCCGGCCCTGGGCCTGCCCTTTGGTGCCAGGTGCCCTGGGCCGAATCACCCCCAGGCTCTGTCTCTTTCGCACCCTGGCCCGTCCCCCCCAGCCTCTGCCTCCCTCTGCACTCTGGGCCCGTCCTCATTCCCCAGTCCTGGGGCCTGGCCGGCGGAGGCTGCAGCTTGTTCCTTATTCATGGCAGGAAGGTCCTTGGGCTGTTGTCATCCCCCCTTGGTCCTGAATCTGCGTCACTTCTGTCCCATCCCTCCTGTAGTCACCCCCACAGGAACACCTGTCCAGCAGTCGCCAGCCCGGTCGCTTTCCAAGGTCAAGATGCCCTTCCTGCAGCAGGCACCTTCCCAGGGGCTCCCGGCCAGGCAGGCAAAAGGAGCTGCCCTGGGTGGGGCCCTCTTGCCCCTGGCCCGGCCCCCCACGTGCCTGGCACGCCTGCATCCACGGTGTGTCCCGTGGTCCAGAGCCCCGGGGAGAATCCAGGCCCCACCCGTCCTGGGAGAGATGTGCTGGGCCCGGAGCCAGAGGCCCAAGCCCACTGGCCTCACGTCACCAACCGCCCTCAGCCCACGCCCCAGCCTCATCGCGAGGAGAAAGCAGCGGAGACAGTGCCCCGAGGAGAAGGAAGGCACTCACCCCCATACACCTGCCAGAATCCCTCCTGCGGAGTCAAAATGCAGAAATGTTACCAACGGGGCGCTCGACTCTCTCTGTTCTCTCCTGTAGACGGACTCGAAGACGAGAGAATGTTGACTTCTAACAGGAGAAGACTGGTTGGAAGGAAGGATGTGAAACTTCTGTGTCTCCTTAAGAGTCTGTGTTTATGTCACGTGTGTGTTAGCTGATGCACAAGTGAGACAGCCTCTTCAACTTGGGTTTGCTACGACTATGTGAGGAAGGCGGACAGTCAGACGCGGCACTGCCGTCCACAGCCCCCGTCACCCGCCCTCCCGGGCAGCGCCACAGCCACCCTCACCGGACCACGCGATGGAGATGGGAGTCACATCACCTTTTCTTTAAAAGAGAAGATTAGAATTTTAAAGGTGTTATGTGTGGGGGTGGGGCTGTTAGTTTGGGTGGGAGGGTCTAAAATGAGAAGAATGATCCCAATTAAAAGCCTAGAAAAAAAGTGTAAGAAATGGCATCTCCCAAGAGCACACTTGAACATCAAACAAGCTAAACGGTGTCACAAGTGGTAAATTAAGTGCTGGAATTTCTCTTGAGCAGGACATTTAGGACACAATTCTTTGAAAGTGTTTGTACTCTTCTCTCATGCCTTATGTTTTTTTTTTGAGTTGGAATCTCACTCTTGTCGCCCAGGCTGGAGTGCAGGGGCATGCTCACGGCCACCACAGCCTCGACCCACTGTGCTTAGACGGTCCTTCTGCCTCAGGTTTCCAAGTAGCTGGAATTACAGGCACACACCACCACACCTGGGTAGTTTTTGTGATTTATTGTAGAGACAAAGTCTCACCAAGTTGCCCAGGCTGGTCTCGAGCCCCTGGGCTCAGGCCATCCTCCCGCCTTGGCCACCCAAAGTGCTGGGATGACAGGCTGAGCCAATGTGCCCGGCCTAAGTTATCTTTTATTTTTAAAAAATTAATTTTTTGTAGAGATGAGGTCTCACTCTATTGCCTAGGCTGGTGTCAGACTCCTGGGCTCAAGCGATCCTCCCACCTTGGCCTCCCAAAGTGCTGGGATGACAGGCTGAGCCGCCGTGCCCGGCTTTTCTTTTTTCTGTTAGTTGCATTAAAGATGGTCTATTTCAGAAGAGTTCTCTCAAATGTGAGCACTCAGGAAACTACAATTTTAAAAAACCTTTTAAAGATATACTAGAGGCTCGGGTCAATACTTTCTTCTGAACCGCCCTTAATTATGACTACATGTATATGTCAGATTGGAAAGTCTTTACTCAATATGCCACAATTCTGAAATAATTACACACAGACCTTCACCCACAGGCTTCAACTCAGGTTCTGACTTGCCTCTCTCTCTTCTGATACATGTATGAGTGGTTCAAAGTGGCAAATTCCTACCAGGTTATTTGGGCTAGACCTGTACCTGCGTGGATGAAAAGATCAAAACCCAACGTGGGGATTGTGTGAGATTTCCTCGCTGTGTATCCACTCTAGGGGGCCTTTTATGTTTAAACATTTTTTTGACTTATGGAAACAACTAAGTCTCCAATAAAGTGCTAGATTCTCTCAGAGTCACGACAGTCAGGTGCGGTGTGATGGGCAATCTAGTCCGTGTGTGACAGAGGGTCTCATCTGTGTGTGACAGGTGATCCAGCCCGTGTGTGACTGGTGGTCTCGTCCATGTTTGATGGGCGATCTGGTCTGCGTGTGCCTGCTAATGTAGTCCACGTGCTGAGTTTGCCTGACCTGAAGACAGCGCCGGAGCGGGTCTGAACTGGCAGCCTGGGCCCGCTTGCTAGCAGTGGCCAAGGGAGCGTTAAGTCGCCTCTCTAAGCCTGTTTTCCATTTGTAAAATGAAGGTTGTGTCACTCTCCTGGCAAGCAAATAGGTCAATCATTATTATTTTGGGACAGGGTATCACTCTGTCACCCAGGCCGGAGTACAGTGGCATGATCACGGCTCACTGCAGCCTTGACCTCCTGGGCTCAAGGGATCCTTCTGCCTCAGTCTCCCAAGGAGCTGAGACTACAGGTGCATGCCACCATGCTCAGCTGATTTTTAAATTTTTTGTAGAGACAAAGTCTGGCTATGTGGCCCAGGCTGGTCTTGAGCTCCTGGCCTCAAGAGATTCTCCTGCCCTGGCCTCCCAGAGGGCTAGGATGACAGGTGTGAGCCACCGCCTGTGTCCTGGGCCAGCGACTAAGCTCAGTCTCTGAGAATCACAGGCTCTCGGCAGCGGGAGTGGGAGGGACTGGAAGGGACAGGCGAGGGCGGGGGGAGAGGAGGGCAGGGGGCACACCGTGGCTGCTCCGTCTTCAAACACTTCTCTGGCTTCCTCGTAGACGCAGACTTCCTCGAAGCACTCCTTCTCCAGGTTTCCCTGGAAGAGCTCCTCCAGCAGGAAGGTGCCCGCACGCCGCCCCCTCGCCAGGACGGCGTGGGCGCTCGAGGCCGAGAGGAACACTGTGTGGAAGAGCAGAGGACGGCGTCCGTGCGGCCACACCCTCGGGACCTGAGGCTCCGCCCTCCCATCCTGGGGTCCCCGGCTCTCGGCCACAGGGCTCCGTGGGGTCCCCAGAGCCACCCTGGTTGCCCCGCGAGAAGGACAGGCGCCGGGTTTTGTTGCCAGGGGACAGGCCTCGCGGGTTAGCAGCGGATACACCAGCATGGCCCGGAGAGGCCAGGCTCCGAGGGAAGGGCTGGCTGCAGGACGGGCTGGGAGTGGCCGGCGTGGAGGACGGAGGCTGCCCGAGAGCAGCAGGCTGGGGGGCTGGCATTCTCGTTGCCTCCACTCAGGGCAGTCGGCATCTCAGCGAGACACGCAGCGGAGAGACAGCCAGAGCCCAGCAGGCCGCATCCCCAGAGGAGAGCCCCCACAGTGCCTGGAGCCTTTTTCCCCAAGGACACCAGGGCGTGGCAGCCGCTGCCAAGGAGCCACACGGGCCAGTGGCGTGTAGCCCTTCCCTGCCCCAGCCCCTTCCTCAGTGGGCGCTTTGACGCCCGCCCAGCGTGTCTCAGCCCGAGTCTGGCCACTTGATGCTCACAGGGGCCCCCTCTCAGGCCTGGAGGCAGGACCAGGATCCTCTGTCCCCTGGGCCGGCGGGGACCCTGGG